ACATAAATAAAAATACTAAGCATTTAATAAATAATATATTTTTATTTATTTCTTCGCCTACATCTCAACATTTTGGCTGAAGTTTATCCTATCTTTGCCCTGATTTACATCGAAGCGATGAATTGCAGATGAATATTTCTATTAAAGTGCAGATTTTTTATAAGATTGGAATAAATAAAAATGTTAGTAAGAAGTATAAAAATATAATTGAATTTGCTCATTTAATTTTATAAAAATATGGTTCTATGATTAGTTTATTTCTAAAAAATACATTGAAGGTGTCACTTTATCAACACTTGTTTACATATTTTATTTATATTTTTATAGACATATTATTTAAAAGCAAATTAAGCATGCTTACTTGTTTTTTTTTTTTGTAAAATATTAGAACTTTTATATAAGATATTCCATAATTCATATATTAATAAAAAAGTCTTTTACTTCTGTAAGATTCTAGTTGGAATATTTTCCAATATAAATATTTTATTAATCAACATTATTAAAAAAATGCATACTAATTAGACACAAGAGCTTACCCAAAAGATATACCTACATTGTACATCCTACACAGCTAAACTTATTTAAAAAAAATCGAATAAGAAAAGTTATTACATTCTCATCCCAAACAAAAGGTAGGTACTAAATTCATACTGTATTTGAGCAAAGACAAGACTTCATACAGCCTATTTAATTTTTATGATTACTTCTAGGCAGAACCGCTTGTTATCCTCACCTCACAGCCCAGAAAGCTAAACCGTACAAGGCGCCTTCTTATTGTAAACAAATAGTGTATTTTTAATTTTATAATTTTATTACCCCCGAACAACATAGTGTGGTGAATGTGCTCACTTACCATATAAAGTCCTTGCAGTGGGAGCAGAAGGTGGGCTGCTTGAAGAACCTCGGCATGAACTTATGGTCTTTTATCAGATAAACATTCTTCTTTTTGAGCGCACCCTTGCGGCCCCGCAAACGGAACGCCTGCCCCGCTTTATATTCACCACCACCGTCATCACAATTATTCTCCTCGTCCGCCATGGCTACCCGCGGTCGCTAGGGCGCCGGTAAACTCGGAAATAATAATTATCTCACAAATAATCGCCTGAGAGCGCGGTCCACCCGAACGAACCACCGCTCTCAACGGAACGTCATCGCGATTTGTCAGTGTACAGAACTAGCTGTCACTGTCAAACTGAAAGTAAAAAATGCGAGTTGCCATATTAAGATTTCAATTACCACTTGAAAACTGTTAAGTGTGGGAGAGCCAAGCTTCGGCACGGATGGGTCGGCTCGACCGGAGTGATACCACGGCCTCACAGAAAACTGACGTGAAACAATTACAGCGTTGTGTTTCACCGTGTGAGTGAGGTTACCGGAGGCCCAATCTTTCCTCTCGCCCGATCCCTCCCCAATCCCTTTATCTCCAAAATCCTAAACCCTAAAAGGTCAGCAACGCACTCGTAATTCCTCCGTTGCGGGTGTCCATGGGCGGCGCTGATTGCTTACCTACAGCCTGTTCGTTTGCCAACCTATTACATAAAAAAAGTTATAGTGACTCATTCCATATATTATAGTATAGCCGCTCTGTCTGATGATGTAAATATGTACGCAGCTTTCTTTCATGCACTTTTTAAAGTAAAAGTTTATGGTCAGGGTTTATTTTGACATCGGAAAATCATTAAATAACTTCTCCCTCCAATTCTAAAAACGCTAAGTCCCTCCAAGACTAAAATCCCCCCTGTTCCTTCTTCTGCTTTAGGCCGAGGCCGCGGTGCCTCATTGCGCTTACCACACGACCCCGGCTAAGTTAATAAATTCAAACTATATTCCTTAATGACAAAACTTACGACATACGATAATATCGTTTGCCAGACTTCGTGGCAAGGTAAATAATGAGACTGTAGATGGTTAAGGTCTGTTTATTACTTTAATTGCTGGTGCTTATATACTAAGAAGATGCGTGAGATTTTCAGATTTAGCTATCCTAACAAACGTGCAACAATTAACATGTATGTCTTATCTCTATCGTATCTAAGTAATGTAGCGACGTGATAGTGCCGCTACATATACTCCCCCCTTTTAAAAATAATTAACATATAAATTGAAAAAAATTAGTATGTACCTAATTATATAATAACTTAACCTTGCTGATAAATTACATCCTATGCGTAATGTAATGTCATTGTTGCTAATTCGAAGGAAATAAAAACTGCTGCCTTTGTTGTGACGGTGGCGGCAGTCGATGAACTATCCACTGCATTTGTGCTGATTGTTTCTTGCTAAATCAGCATAATTAATCGGTGATGGCACATCAATTTGTTCTATCCGTGACAATGCGTCTGCTACAATATTGTCACGTCCTTCTATATGTTGAATGTTGGTACAATATTGTGAAATAAAATCCAGTTGTCGTATTCGCCGTGGCGTATCATTAGATGACGGTTTTTGGGAAAATGCGTAAGTCAAAGGTCGATGATCTGTAAAGATAGTAAATTCTCTTCCTTCGACTAACCTTTGAAAATGTTTGACTGCCATATATATTCCGAGCAACTCTCTGTCGAATGTCGAGTATTTTTGTTGAGTATCACTTAATTTCTTTGAAAAGAATCCTAATGGTTCCCAATTACGTCCTGACTTCTGCTGCAGAACTGCGCCAACACAGGTCGAACTGGCGTCCGTCATAAGTGCCAAAGGGGCGGTGCGAGAGGGGTGAACTGTTAATACTGCGTTCCTTATATTTTCCTTGGTCCTTTAGTGATAATATGATGCTTAATCTTGTGTTTTGGAGTAGTGTGGAGGGAGGCTGGTTTCGTAATATCCTCGTATTCATTTAATAGTTGAGTAATGCGTGGATTCGTCTCAATGTTAATAGTGCGGATTGTTTGCTGCGTCGATTTGATCAGGGTTGCGGGCGTTGTCAGCTCAGTTACCCTATCTATGAGTTTTCGACCAGCTATATCGACTAATAGCTTATAATGCTCTAAAAAAATCTGCTCCAATAATCGGTTGTGTTACATCGGCGATGACAAAGTTCCATACAAAGTTTCTTTGTAGCCCGAAGTTTAAAGAGAGTGTTTTTTCACCATATGTCTTAATTTTTGTACCATTGGCGGCATAAAGTATACATTGTTCATCTTGTATTAGTGAATGTCTCTGTGGCTTGCTAATAACTGAAATATTTGCTCCCGTGTCAATCAAAAATCTCATACCACTTTTTCGGTCGGTAATAGTGAGGCGGTTGGACGGGTGAATAGCACAGAGTTCCGCCGTTGTCCGTGCTTCAATTAGTTTCCCTGTTTCCTTGAGTTGAGATCCTGTTTCCAATCACAAGGTTGAACACACTTTTGTGCATATTTTTTAAATCTTCCATGGTAAAAACAAAAGTGCCTTCTTTCTCTTGAACTCGACTGTGGTAGGAAATGCCGACGATTGGAATAACTTTGAGTGCTGCGTCGATAGTTTTTTTGACCTTGCTGAATTGCATTTAGTTCCAATTGCATTTCTGCTAACTGTGCTAGTATGCATGACATTGTATCTTCGCCAGATTTGTTTCCGTTTACAGCTGACACCTCTGTACGTGTTGAATTTATTAATATCTTGTCCGCGATCTGGCTCATCTTGTTCACATCTATGTCTTCTGTGACTGCTAGAACCGAAGTCACTGATGGTGGCAGAAGCCTCAACCATAGAAGTTTGATGGTTTCGTCGCTGATATTTCCGTTACTCAGGGTCCGCATCTTGCGCAGAAGATGTGATGGTTTCTGGTCGCCGAGATCCATTTCAGACAATAATTTTTGGAGCTGACGTTGGTCTGATTCCTCATAGCAACTGATTAGGCGTTCTTTGATAGCCTTGTACTTTTCTATTGGCGGTGGGCAAGTAATGAGGTCACTAACCTGTATTATTTCTTCTTTTGGCAGTTTTGCAATGACCGTATAGTACTTGTAATCGTCTCCTTGCTTCTGTGGTGCTACTATGGCTTCTAGTTGCTTAAACCATAATCTGGGTTGGTCCCTCCAAAATTCCGGTTCCGGCTGATATCTCCAAGGCTTCTTGTTGGCTGCTGCTTGATTTGCAGGGTGAATGAGTCATGTTGATTGTTCTTCGTCGGGTCACCAATTTGCCAGACTTCGTGGCAAGGTAAATAATGAGACTGTAGATGGTTAAGGTCTGTTTATTACTTTAATTGCTGGTGCTTATATACTAAGAAGATGCGTGAGATTTTCAGATTTAGCTATCCTAACAAACGTGCAACAATTAACATGTATGTCTTATCTCTATCGTATCTAAGTAATGTAGCGACGTGATAGTGCCGCTACAATCGTATTGTTCGTTTCGTATTATTGTTCAAATATGTTATACACAGTAAATGGTACTTACATGTACGGCCAACTACAATAAACACGAAACTCTAACAATGATGTACTTTCGAGGTAGCATTACCATTAAAATTATAAAAAATATTATAATATCTTGTAGTACTACTAACGTTTGTGTTGTTATAATCAAATACATGATTGTTATTTTTAATTTATATTTCCCTAGCCTCACATTTATTTATTCAATCTGGCAACATTGTGATGCTCGTTCAAAAACTAACTAAAGGTTAAAGATATTTCTTTGTTTCGTTATATTCACAATAAAATTATTTGTCTAGCTAAATAGTTTTAAAATAATAAGAAAACATATTAGTACCTAAGTGTCTACCTGTTTTGCTAGGGTTTTATTCTAAAAAGACATTAGTAAAATTTTGTCAGACACACCAAAGAGTAAAGTAATAAAGGGGGAGTACACCACTTTCGAATCGAAATTTTGAACGACACCTATTCTGTTTGCGTTGTCCCATCTGTCATCGTCATTTCAAGTGCAAAGCCGTTATTTTTCAAGATCGTTCGGTTGAGAATTTGTTTTGCTGTGCATTGCAAAGTGAAATGTGAAATATTTGAAAGTTTATTGAAGTGTCTCTGTTATTGTGTGTGCCAGATAGAAATTTGAATACGATGAGTACAGAAAACTCAGATTCGGGCCCTGGGCTCACGCTGTCGTTGGTGGCTCAATTCGACGATATAAATCGGTTAAACGGCATCCTCAACGACGGTGCTGCTGAAGAATGTAAGTTTAAACATTTGTTTTCATTCATTAATGCACAGATAAATTTTAATTTATAATCGTTTTCTTTAACACAGGTAAATTTTCATTCACCCACATTTTTCTGATATTTAATAAAATTAAGCGGGCAATTTTACTGATACCGCCTTCCTTTTCTGATAGCGGTAATCTGTATTCCCTAAACAACAAAAATGGTTGGAGTTATTGTCACAGCCATGATCCTGGAAAACTTATTTAGTCATTCTGAATGTTAATATTTAATTTTGTTCTATTTAAAGTAAGGCTTGATGTCAATGGTTATAGGTATCCAGCTTGTTCATTCTGTGACCTTGGTGATGATATTACTGATTGCAATAAAAATTCTTTGTATATTATACACATTTCACTGTACACTTATCTCAAAGATGAGAATGGAAAAAAGTGTTGATTTTTTCATTCATCATTTTATATTTAAAACAAAACCTATTGTTAGAAGTCTCCCAAGGATTTCATGTTTACATTGTTACCAACATTTTCAACAGGTTTTTCTGGTAACAAAAAACCAGCAGGGCTTGTGATGTGGGAGCAGGGTTTGATATATCGGGTACCATAAATTAAAATATAAGTAGTGTTTTCAGTAACTTCAAATTGTTCAAGGAAAAGTTGATGACATAACTAATAGTAAATAAAAAAGTTATTCAATAATGTGATAACATTTATACAAATATTATAAACTTTTCAATATGTTGTCAAACAAAAAAAATCTAAACACAATATTTTGCTTAAAAGTAACCAAAAGTCATAAAATTATGACCAGCCTTGTTATTTTTCAGGTTTCCTAGCCTTTCTCAAACAAATGGAGTGGGTCCGTGGTCAATGGGCCGCAGCAGAGAAAGAGGCAGCTCGGATACAGACAGAGCTAGATGAGGCTCTCCGCACTCTTGCCAAGTGGGAGGCGAAATTTGCACATGTGAGGAAGCTGCTTGATGGAGAGAAGAGAGAGAGGAACATTGTGCTGAAGAAATATAATGAACTGGTTGGTATCATTGGTAACATAGAGGAACTTGGTGTTGAAAAAATAAAATTAATTTATTTCTTTACACCATAATAATATGTATCACAATGTGATACCATTTTAATCCCTGGAATAGGTAATCAGAGATGTGCATAACATTAAATTATTGTATAATGTAATGTTAACTAGTTATGTTATGAGTGAAATGGTAAGTAGAATGTGGTTTATCCTGCATTCTACTGCCTTGTCATCTGAATTGCCTGCTTAATTAAATAATATACCTAATATAATAAATATATTTTAATATAATATGACTGCACAGTTGGCACCAAACATGTGTGGTTCGATTCCCTCACCAAACAACTACTTGTGTAATACACAAATCATGGTTCTGGGTCTGGTTTCATGTGTATGTGAAATTGTATCTTTCTAAAATCTCCCAAATTATTGTGCTATTGTCATTTTTTAAATCTAGTTTCTCCCAGTGGCTGTACCCACATAGCAAGGTTAAAAGTACTCCAGACTTAACTATCTCTATGCCAAATATCACTTGGCAAAATAAACAAAATAAGGGAAATAATAGGTACTTAACTACTTTATAAAACTGTTATACTTTTCAGAGTAAACTATTGGACATGGCTAGAGACCTACTGTTCAATGATAACCGTGCCAAGCTGAATGATGAGACCCTGCAGAAGCTTGCTTTCCTCAATGGAACTGCTCAACAGGATCATAATGCTAAGCTTAATTGTGTACCTGAGCTTAATTCTACAGGTAATTGTTTTTTTATTGGAGCGATAAAACAATGTTCTAGATTATTGTGATTCTGGAAAGATTTTTTATGTAACCTGTTATTTTGTTGTGGATTGAACATTAGGTTTAATTGCGTTTACACACACACTCAGAGAATACCATCGTGAAACAACCACAGTATTGTTTCGCCGTGTGATAGTGGTTACTGAAGGCTCATCCCTCCCCTCTTCCTAAATCCACAAAATGCTGGCAATGCACGTCCACAGGCGAAAAACATTATGTGCATATGAATTCGCAAACTTATAAGTAACTTACGTACTTATCTACAATACAGAAAAATCCAGGCCGAACATAGGATCGCCGCACTGTGAACTACGACAGCAGAGAATTACCATCAATATATATTTTACCTTTTACCTATTACCATAATAAAAAAATGTATATTGCTCAGCATATATTTTCTATTTCTTTACAGGCACCCTTTTATCAGAGATGTCATACTCCAGATCTGAAGATGATTTGGATCTTTCTATTGCGTCTACTCGCCGGTCGTGGGTGGCGCGCGGAGGATGGAACGCGCGTGAAAACGCACCTGTACCCAAGAAACGACGGTCTTCCACGTCATCTGCTACTAAGGTATGAAAGAAAAATACTTTGTGTTCTATGAGGAAGAAAGAAAAATAAAAAAATATAATTAAAAAAAAAGAATTTTGCAAATCGGTGTACATACATAAAAAAAAATACGCGTCGAATTGAGAACCTCCTCCTTTTTTGAAGTCGGTTAAAAATTAAAGAAATTTGTAACACTGTCCACATCATCAGCCTATATGTGCCCATAGCTGAGCAGGGACCTCTTCTTACACAGAGAAGGAGTATTAATCACACGAAGCTCAAGGCAGATAACCGATTTCGAACATATTATTTGAACTTATAAGGCCAGGTTTCCTCACATACCTTTTTCATTGTATGTCAGTTTCAAAAAAATCTTCGAAATTTTTTACTACGGTTTTTTTTCGGTACTTAATGGATTTGGAACACATACCTTCTTGCAAGAGAAGCAGGCGCATCAATCTCCACTCTCCAGGTCACAATAATAACAAATTGTTCATTCTATTCTCCTCACCTTTTCCAATGAAGTAGGAAATCAAATTTAATTAAAGCTTTTCACTCTTGATACTTGTGTTCTCGGAATACTGTATAATCTAAGTCCAAATATATTTTGCTTATCAGTAATTTCTTTCTCCAACAGACAGTAGAGCTGCAAGGTGGCAAAGTGCTGGCCACTGCCACGACGACACTGACACTGGAACGCGCGCCCACCAGCCATGACCTGAAGCCGCCTAATAACTTTGTAAGTTGAATCATGAGACCTGTCGGCAAGAGAGCAAAACTATTACCTGATGGTAAACAATCAGCGCCGCCTATGTACACACACCAGATTACTTACGAGTGCATTTCCAAGATTTAGGAGATTTAGGGATTAGTAAGGGATAGGGAAAGGGGAAGTTTTGGGCCTCCGGTAACCTTACTCACACGACGAAATACAACGTTGTAATGGTTTTGCGCCAGTTTCCTTTGAGGCCGTGGTATGACTCCGGCGAAGCCTACCCATTCGTGCCGAAGCATGGCTGTCCAACACTTACGCACAAATCAGTCAAAAAAAAGTCAAAATCATTTATTTCAATTACACCACAGTAGGCACTTTTGAACGTCGCAAAAAAAGAAAAAATTATTTCAAGAGCTTCAACATTAAGCGTGGCAGTCTGTCCGTCTAGTCTAGTGAAGCTCGTTCCAAAGTGTAGATTCCTATAGAGAAATAATGAAGTCAGAACTTATAATAACTAGTAGTCGAAATGCACGGCAAAATCTCACACGTTACTCCCACTAGCATTAATACTATGCTAAGTAAGACCTAAAGAAATAAGTAGGTAAGTGCTTCACGTTTAATACATAATAATATTTCGCCAGCAACCTATATCGGAGAGCAGTGACGAGGCGCCTCCTCCTCGCAAGTCCTCGGCGCGTCTGTCCGGCAGGATGCAGCAATACGTTAAGGAGGAGTGTACACCCTCTGCACCACCTCGCACTGGTGAGTTTTCTATAATATGTACCTGCTACTGATTTTAATGCTACTGTAGAGAGAAGGTGAATACTTGTTTTTAGTGATCACTTACTTCAACTTCTAGAAATAGTTAAAGTCAGTTTGTTATCTTAAGGATTCATTTGTGTAATTTTAACAATACTTTTCGCTCACCAAATTTTAGGGGTTCAGCCTCGAGTGTAGCCGAATATAAGCTATAGGTAGGCTAAATATCCACGAAGGAATCCTGGTATATACTATATAGTAAGTTTTACAAATATCAGTGTGGTGTAACAGCAATTGTGAATTTTGAGATATTTTTTCTGGAGTCTGTTTTCTCCGAAAAGTGGATAGAAATCTGAGTGTCTTCAATGCCCAAGTAAAAACGTTGCTTAAGGGTAGGCGTCCTTCATCGTAGATCGCTTAACCGCTTACCACCAGGCGAGACAGTGGACACAATACATGCCAAAAGAAAATCCTACACAAATATATGAAATGATTCTTTATTTTCTACATCCAGACACAGAGAGTGGATCAGAAACTCCCCGCGCGGTCCCACAGCGCACCCCGTCCGTAGTGTCGGCCGGGTTCGGGGCCTCTCCGCGGGCACGGCCCAGACAACACAACTTCGTTGCCAAGAACTTCTACAAGAGGGAGACTTGCGGTCCTTGCGGGAAGACGTAAGTATTCATACTTAAAACCATAGTGAGATATCATAAAATAATTTAAAGATATGGCTTACCTATCGTAAATGTTCGAGAAAAGCTCGACTAGTTTCAAGTTTAAATATTCACGAGTGCCGTCCGCGACTTTATTGTTATTTTATGCCATTGAAGCAATTTATTGAAATTGCCGACTATAATACACCCGTTCCTAATGTTGGAGACTGCAAGTTAATGCCAACTGCATTACCGAATATAATCTACCCCGTTCCTACTGCTGGATAGACTGAAAGTAAATACCCACAGCGTTACCCACCATAATCTACCCCGTTCCTACTCCTGGATAGACTGCAAGTAAATGCCAACAGCATTACCGACTATAATCTACCCCGTTCCTACTTCTGGATAGGCTGCAAGTAAATACCCACAGCGTTACCGACCATAATCTACCCCGTTCCTACTCCTGGATAGACTGCAAGTAAATGCCAACACCGTTACCGACTATAATCTACCCCGTTCCTACTCCTGGATAGACTGCAAGTAATAAATAAATAAATAAATAAATGCGAACAGCGTTACCGACTTTAATCTACCCCGTTCTTACTTCTGGATAGACTGCAAGTAAATACCCACAGCGTTACCGACTATAATCTACCCCGTTCCTAGTCCTGGATAGACTGCAAGTAAATGCCAACAGCATTACCGACTATAATCTACCCCGTTCCTACTCCTGGATAGACTGCAAGTAAATGCCAACAGCGTTACCGACTTTAATCTACCTCGTTCCTACTTCTGGATAGTCTGCAGGTAAATACCCACAGCGTTACCGACTATAATCTACCCCGTTCCTAGTCCTGGATATACTGCAAGTTAATGCCAACAGCATTACCGACTATAATCTACCCCGTTCCTACTCCTGGATAGACTGCAAGTAAATGCCAACAGCGTTACCAACTATAATCTACCCCGTTCCTACTCCTGGATAGACTGCAAGTAAATGCCAACAACATTACCGACTATAATCTACCCTGTTCCTACTCCTGGATAGACTGCAAGTAAATGCCAACAGCATTACCGACTATAATCTACCCCGTTCCTACACCTGGATAGACTGCAAGTAAATAGCCACATCTTTACCGACTACAATCTACCCCGTTCCTACTGCTGGATAGACTGAAAGTAAATGCCCACAGCGTTACCGACTATAATCTACCCCATTCTTACTCCTGGTTAGACTGCAAGTAAATGCTAACAGCGCTACCGACTATACTCTACCCCGTTCCTAGTCCTGGATAGACTGCAAGTAAATGCCAACAGCGTTACCGACTTTAATCTACCCCATTCCTACTGCTGGATAGACGGAAAGTAAATGCCAACAGCGTCACCGACTATAATCTACTCCGATCCTGCTCCTGGATAGACTGCAAGTAACTGCCAACAGCGTTACCGACCATAATCTACCCCGTTCCTACTTCTGGATAGACTGCAAGTTAATGCCAACACCTTTACCGACTATAATCTACGCCGTTCCTTCTCCTGGATAGACTGCAAGTAAATGGCGAAACCGTTGCTGACTATAATCTACCCCGTTCCTACTCCTGGATAGACTGCAAGTAAATGCCAACAGCATTACCGACTATAATCTACCCCGTTCCTACACCTGGATAGACTGCAAGTAAATAGCCACAGCTTTACCGACTACAATCTACCCCGTTCCTACTTCTGGATAGACTGCAAGTAAATGCTAACAGCGTTACCGACTATAATCTACCCCCTTCCTAGTCCTGGATAGACTGCAACAGCCCTGTGTTAACTTTATTGTACACCATATGGCAATTAAAACTGTAATCTCAATAAATATTTAATCCAATGTCAATGCCTTTTTGGATATGGGGCGAAACTTGGATCGTAACCAATCGACACCGCTCATAGTCACGGACATTCGGAATGTTACAATAGTAATGCAAAGGCGTTAACGGTCTATTTCGGATAAATAAAGACACAACGCTATTGTCGGTGCCGAATTATGTTTTTCTCATTTTGCGATTCCCATTTAGTAAAACCGATGTTGTCCTCTTCAGTATAAAGTTCGCGAAGCTGGGAGTGAAGTGCGAGACTTGTCGCGCGCAGGCGCATCCCGAGTGTCGCGCGCTGCTGCCGTTACCGTGCGTGCCGCCCGGCCCCGCCCCGCGCCGCGCCCAGACACAGGTACTGCCGGACACTGGTCATTGTATAGTACTGCCGCCCGGCCCCGCCCCGCGCCGCGCCCAGACACAGGTACTGCCGGACACTGGTCATTGTATAGTACTGCCGCCCGGCCCCGCCCCGCGCCGCGCCCAGACACAGGTACTGCCGGACACTGGTCATTGTATAGTACTGCCGCCCGGCCCCGCCCCGCGCCGCGCCCAGACACAGGTACTGCCGGACACTGGTCATTGTATAGTACTGCCGCCCGGCCCCGCCCCGCGCCGCGCCCAGACACAGGTACTGCCGGACACTGGTCATTGTATAGTACTGCCGCCCGGCCCCGCCCCGCGCCGCGCCCAGACACAGGTACTGCCGGACACTGGTCATTGTATAGTACTGCCGCCCGGCCCCGCGCCGCGCCGCGCCCAGACACAGGTACTGCCGGACACTGGTCATTGTATAGTACTGCCGCCCGGCCCCGCCCCGCGCCGCGCCCAGACACAGGTACTGCCGGACACTGGTCATTGTATAGTACTGCCGCCCGGCCCCGCCCCGCGCCGCGCCCAGACACAGGTACTGCCGGACACTGGTCATTGTATAGTACTGCCGCCCGGCCCCGCCCCGCGCCGCGCCCAGACACAGGTACTGCCGGACACTGGTCATTGTATAGTACTGCCGCCCGGCCCCGCCCCGCGCCGCGCCCAGACACAGGTACTGCCGGACACTGGTCATTGTATAGTACTGCCGCCCGGCCCCGCCCCGCGCCGCGCCCAGACACAGGTACTGCCGGACACTGGTCATTGTATAGTACTGCCGCCCGGCCCCGCCCCGCGCCGCGCCCAGACACAGGTACTGCCGGACACTGGTCATTGTATAGTACTGCCGCCCGGCCCCGCCCCGCGCCGCGCCCAGACACAGGTACTGCCGGACACTGGTCATTGTATAGTACTGCCGCCCGGCCCCGCGCCGCGCCGCGCCCAGACACAGGTACTGCCGGACACTGGTCATTGTATAGTACTGCCGCCCGGCCCCGCGCCGCGCCGCGCCCAGACACAGGTACTGCCGGACACTGGTCATTGTATAGTACTGCCGCCCGGCCCCGCCCCGCGCCGCGCCCAGACACAGGTACTGCCGGACACTGGTCATTGTATAGTACTGCCGCCCGGCCCCGCCCCGCGCCGCGCCCAGACACAGGTACTGCCGGACACTGGTCATTGTATAGTACTGCCGGACACTGGTCATTGTATAGTACTGCCGCCCGGCCCCGCGCCGCGCCGCGCCCAGACACAGGTACTGCCGGACACTGGTCATTGTATAGTACTGCCGCCCGGCCCCGCCCTGCGCCGCGCCCAGACACAGGTACTACCAGACACAGGTAGACATTGTATAGTACTGCCATGTATACATGTACACTACTACTTTAAGCCAAAATTTATTTAAGAAATTTAGTCAACGATTTATATAAATGACCCAATATGATATCGAAACTTGTAATATTTCCAGGAGGGCTGCATCTCAGACTACGCCCCTTCGACCCCGCCGATGGTGCCGGCGCTACTGGTACATTGTATCAACGAGGTAGAGAAGCGAGGACTCACTGAGAAGGGAATATACCGCATCAGTGCCACTGACAAAGATGTTAAGCGACTTAAGGTGGGCAATATTACACTTTCTAAGAGAACAGAAAACATTTTTGTTTTAATACATGTTAAGCAATCAGCTCCGCCTATGGACATGGACTCGTGGAACCTCTTTTTTTTTCTGTGGCAACACTGGCGTTGACAGCTGATTTATGATTGTCCTTATTTTTTATTTAAATAATTATTGAAATATTCTATTTTTACAAACAATATTACCTAAAACCACCTCATCACTGATTACTTAAGTGTGATTTATAAGGTTTTCCAAGTTTAATTGCCAAAAATAGTGAAATTGTGAAGTTACTAAATATAAGGTTACCGGCATTAAGGATTCGCTGCATTGTTATCTCGATAACAGGTAAAATACAGTATTATTTCAACGAAATTAGGTATTTTGCCTATTTATTTTCGTGTTTATACTGATATCTTTTAGCGCAACGAACAGTCGCGATCAAAATAACAATAAAAATTACCTTTTAGTTGGTGGCACAACTTCTTTGTTTATGCTAACTTTTACTTAACTTCTCTAGTAACTTCCTTACCTCAATATCTTAATAAACTTCAGCTTCCATTATAATTTTCTAATTCTATCTCTTACCTTTAAACTTCTAAAATGATTCTAACTCGCAAAGCCCATGCTCGCCAAGAGGAGTCTAAACTCAACCTGGCTTTGAGCGAATTGAAGGCTTCGAAGGAGTTGTGTGATCAATTGTTGAGGGAAAGGGATGACAATGAGAGTGAATTCTTGGTTATTTTGGACCAAAACAAGAAGCTGAAACGTGAAATGGCTCTGTTAAACATTCAACACACAGAAGCCATTGAGGCCCGGGATAGGCTCCAATTTGTTGTGGACGAATTCAAGCAATGTAGCGATGAGTATGAAACCACATTAAATGATAAAGCCTTACTTAAACAACAGCTACATGAGGCCAACAGTCAAATTTCTGAACTAGAAACTCTAAACCTTAATATCACGGCCGGCTTGAATAATAGTTTATTCAGCGAGTTGGTGTCAGCCCATGCTTCTCAACTACAATATAATGATGTAGATTTAAATTTATTAACCACAGATCAGACTAGAAATAATGATGCATGTCACCCAGTGAAATTTGTTAGCTCTAGTAATAAGAAGCTTAAGAAATACATAAGAATCAGTAAATTTATAACTAAAACCAATGATGTATAAAACTATAGATACGTTGTCCGCGCTCTAAAATGGCAACATGAAATGAAGGCAATTGACAACATCGCGCTTAGTTACGCACCAACCTGCCGCGCGACGCTACGTTTGTTTTTAATTTATATCGTGTGTGTAAACCTGTGCGAAACATAAAGAAAGCATGTCGTCGTGTGTGTTCAGACGATGTACAAATTATACTCCAAAAGTTAAAGACAAAAATGTGTCATTTCATGCGTAAGTTCACCAAACAACCTATTTTTATTTTATATTTTTTTCGACGCCGGCGCCCGCCATCTTATGGCGGCCGGCGCATGAAGGTATAGTCACGTGCCGTCGGCATAACTGAAGATGTATATTTATCTCCCTCTAGCAAAGGCATTCCACTATACGATGTCATATTTTCTTTCCCTTTCTTTACTCGTAGAAGTAGTTATCTAGTATTGTCGCCGTTTTTAAGCCCCGCGATGTTGGTTCATGACGTGTCTATATATAATACGTCATTGACTAAAACAAACAAACTAGTAAAGAGACAAAAGTTCTTTATAAAAAATGTAAAATTAAATAGAGAACGTTTCCAGCTTCTGAAACAACTTAGTTTATACTCTTCAAAATTAACTCAAAGTGCTAGGAGATATGAAACTGACACCCAGAGCCTGCAGTCAGAACTAGACCAATTAACATCCAAGTTGGAAATAATGTCTAATAAATATAGTGCTTCAGAAAGGCAGATGAGGGAATACATGTTGGCAATGAATGAGTTGGTAAGCTCTCAGGAGAAACAGTGTGAGAAGTGCGCTCCAGATGCTATACTGCCTGCTCTTTCTCTGCCGGCATGTGAAACCACCTTACCTCATGGTGGAGGTTTACTGTTTCCTAGTAATTGTAATTCTAATTCTAGTAGTCATAATATTGTGATTTTCAGTGATGAGAGGGTTCAATATTGACAGATGAATTACCTGGACAGTCAATATTTAATCACTGTATGCCCGGCTGTAATTTTGTTAATATCTTGGATAAAATTAATAATTATAGTTTTCATCAAAATTCTACCCTCATTATTATGTGTGGTAACAGAGGTAGTCTAAATAAAAAAAGTTTAATTAATTTCCACAATTCACTTGCCAAACTTAATTTAAAACAGATCATTATATTTGCTTTACCTTATATTAAAACGTTGCCACAGGAAGAAAACAATATTAGATATAAAATTAACACTACATTGTATAACCTAAGCAACTATTCTAATATTCACTTTATAGACACCAACAATTATGTTGGTCTTAATATATATAAGACAAAAGATAGGTACTATCTTTCAAAATATTATTTAAGACAAATAGCAATATCGCTATCATATTTTTTTAATATATCAGCCAATAACTTGGCTAAACAGGTTACTCCTATTGAGCAACCAAAAAATATTGACATTCATAATAATTCACCTAATGCTGACATTCATAATAATTTAAATTATTAAATAAGACAATAGAGACAACCTCTTGCAAATTAAACAGTAATAAGGTTATTAATCTGGTTCACCAAAATATTCAAGGCTTTATGAGCAAAGAATTAGAAATTGAGTTATTTTTAAATTGTAATAATGTGGATATTTTGTGTATAACTGAACATTGGCTAAAACCTCATCAGCTCATGTTCAATTTTGGTAAGCACCAGATTTGTAGCTCGTTCAGCAGAGTAAACGCTATACATGGTGGCTCACTTATACTGATAAGTAATCAGCTTAAATTCAAAGATCGCAAAGATATAGTTAGTTACTCTGTTGAGCGTACTGTTGAAATAGCCTGTGTGGAATTGGAGCGGTTTATTGTATTAAGCGTGTATAGACCACCTTCAGGTTTGTATGACTGTTTTGAAACAGTAATGGATGAAGTATTAAGTAAACTTACAAATTCAAAGAAATCCATCATTACATGTGGTGATTTTAATATAAATTTATTAGAAAAATGTAGTTTAAGCACAAAAATTGTAAGTTTATTTTCTTCATACAACCTTGCGAATTTGTTTCTGGAGCCAACTAGGATAACAAACACTAGTGCCACTTGCCTGGACAATATTTATACCGACATTGTGCCAGTTAACAAAGAAATAATTTCAGTACTTGATTCCGATCATTGTGGTCAGTTAATTTCTTTAACAAATGAAATAAATATAGTGTCAAAACAATTTATCACAGTTAATCCGAAGACTAAAAGACGCATTGAATTTTTCAAAGCTAAACTCAGCAACAAATTGCCTTTGTTGTTGAATTATAAGAATTCTAACACTTTATATGATAAGTTTTTTAAAATGTACCTAACAGAGTTTAAGTCTACTTTTACAGATAAAACTATTCCAGCTAATAGCAATGTGTCTTTTGGTGATTGGGCAACCACTGGTATCTATAAGAGTAGAAATCGCCTCTATGAGCTCTATAATGAGCGGACATATATTAATACTGTTGAATTCAGTGAATATGTAAAAAACTATTCTAAATTATTTAAAAAAGTTTGCTCTATTGCAAAATCTCTATTCTTAAGCTCTAAGATAAAGAACAGTACCAATGTTATCAAAGACACTTGGAACATTATCAACAGTGAGGCAGGAAGGTCTAAAAAAAGAATTAGTCAACATAGTCTAGTAATTGATAATAAGTTAATAAAAGCGGATGTAGAAATTGCAACTGCTTTTGAACATTTCTTTTCCGACATTCCTGTATCCACTACAAAGTCACTGAATTCATCTCCCACTGTTGCAGAGTCTTTACTCAAAGAACATGTTGTAGCTTGCGATTCAGGGTTTTCCTTCAAACACATAGATAACAAAGACATTGTTAAAATCTTTAATACTTTGAATAACAAAAAGACTGCAGATCTATGGGGTAATTCTGTGTACATTACAAGCTCTGTAATAACTATTGTAGCACCTGTATTGGCTCAAATCTTTAATAACTGTATTGACTGTGGTGTGTTTCCTGATCTTATGAAATGTAGTAAAATAATTCCATTATTTAAATCAGGTAGTACTTCTGACCCCACTAACTTTAGACCTATTTCAGTACTACCTACGTTCAGTAAAATTTTTGAAAAAATCATTTTAGATCAAATGCAAAGATTTTTTAATAGAAATAAATTATTACATGCGAAGCAGTTCGGATTTACAAGGGGTCGTTCAACAACTGATGCCGGTGTTGAACTTCTTAATCATATTTACGACGCATGGGAGGACTCAAGCGACGCTTTGGGAATATTTTGTGATTTATCCAAGGCGTTCGATTGTGTGCTTCATGATACACTGATCAGGAAGCTTTCCCATTACGGAATTAGAGGTGCATCTCTGGACCTTCTTACCTCATACCTGAGTAATAGGGTTCAGAGAGTCGAAGTAAACGGAATGGTTTCTGCCGGGTCTGTTGTGAAGATGGGTGTTCCGCAGGGTTCTATTCTCGGCCCGTTTTTATTTCTTATCTATATTAATGACTTGCCTTACCTTGTAAGGGATAAACACGAGATAGTGCTGTTTGCTGATGATTCCTCACTATTATTCAAACTCAGACGACGACAATCATTAATTGACAATGTAAACAGTGCTCTCTCAGAAATAGTTCACTGGTTTGGTGTGAATAACTTATTACTAAACGAAACTAAAACTAAATGTATTAAATTCACAACACCAAATGTTAAACAGATAAAAACCAGTGTGCTTGTCAAGGGCGAGGAGTTGAGTCCTGTAGATACAACTGTCTTTTTAGGTATAACCCTGGACGCTAAGCTCCAGTGGGGCCCACATATAGATGGCTTGTCGAAGAAGCTCAGTTCTGCAGCATATGCCGTTAAAAAAATTAGAAATTTAACAGATATAGATACAGCGCGGTTAGTTTATTTTGGTTATTTCCACAGCATCATGTCATACGGTATTTTGTTGTGGGGGAATGCTGCTGACATCCAGTCTATTTTTGTTCTGCAGAAAAGGGCTATTCGATCAATCTATAATCTTAGTCCGAGGCATTCGCTCAGAGAATTATTTAAGGAATCTAAAATAATGACAGTTGCCTCTCAATATATTTATGAAAATGTAATTCACGCTCATAAAAACAAAAGCTTATTTAAGAAATATAGTGATATACATAATATCAACACGAGGGGGAAAAACAAATATGTTGTGCCTGCCTCCAGGCTTCAGAAAATAAGTAGTTCGTTTAGGTGTCAATGTATACGCTTTTACAATAAAATTCCTAGCGATATTCAAAATTTGAGCCTCAATAAATTTAAAAGTGTAATAAAGGCTAAACTTTGCTGTAAAGCATTTTATAAAATAAAAGACTACTTAGAGGATAGTCAGGCTTGGGAATGAGCCGCTGTAATGTCTGCACAGGTCATGTTGACATGTTTGTAACATAAGTTACACTTTTATATACAATTTGACATTACGTTTATTTTTTTTTTATACAATGACATGATCACCTATTGTGACATTTTTATTTTTTATTTGACATTTTTTTTTTATTTATTTGTTGACATTTTTATTATTTTATATTATTGTTAGTGTAAGGACCGTGTGAGACTTGTCGTGCTTTTTATCACCAGTCATCTGCGTTCTGACAGTTTGAGTACTTGCGCGACCCACCCAAATGTTCTTTTGATCGGTATTGTTCGTCGGACAACTCAACAGCACTAGCTATATGGTTGCAAACTGACACTTGCGTGCCTGTCTTCAGAACGGGTCCACTTAAACTGGTGTGGTTCTTTCCTCAAAAGACCACTACAGAATGAACTTGCACGGTTCTCTCACATTATGTTATTTTATATTGTCTGGACTTGAAAAGAGACTGACCTCTGAGTTTGTTTCGGCATTTCTTCTCAGAGTAGTCAGATAGGAAATGCCGGCTTCATCTAGTTTTTCACATATAATTTGACGTGTAAAAGTGCCGTTTTAAGGCCTATTTGCAAAAATAAATTCATTGTTTCATTGTATGAATCTCGTCAAGTAATATTTTGTTGACATACAGCAATAGTACGATTATTTATTGTCTGTATCCAGGAGCGTTTCCTCCGCGGCTGTGGGTCCCCGTCTCTGTCGGGCGAGGACGTGCACGTGCTGTGTGGATGCATCAAGGACTTCCTGCGTTCGCTGCGCGAGCCGCTGGTGACGTCGGCGCTGTGGGCAGACTTCATGGAGGCGGCCAAGCTGGCCGAGCCCAGCGACGCCACCGCCGCCATCGTACAGGCCGTCAGCCAGCTACCGCAGCCCAACCGGGACACTCTCGCCTTCCTCGTGCTGCATTTACAGAAGTTTGTATCTATAATACTTTTAAAACTGCACTGCACGGTTGGTGCGGTGGCTGGGCAACTGGCTGTCGTGCAACGTGTCGCTGGTTCGATTCCCGCACGGAACAACTCTTTGTGTGATCCACAAATTGTTGTTCCGGGTCTGGGTGTCATGTGCATGTGAAATTGTATGTTTGTAACTGCACCCACGACACAGGAGAAAATCCAAGTGTGGGGCAACGTTTTTTTTAAAAAAAAAACCTGCTCCAACCAGATCTAAGCGAAACACAATTTATTTTCTACTAGCTTCTGTCGCGTGGTTTCACTCGCTGCTTCTACAAATTGAACAAAGCATGGGTTGTTCAACCATGGTTTGGTTAATATTTTCATTATAGCATACCTTATTGTTGAAGCAATGAACTATTTCTTTAGACTTCTTTATGCTGGTAAGGACAGGCTGCTTTATAAAACTTGAATAAAGTGCTAAGGTTGATGAGATATCAGGTTAATAAGTGTGTATGTGAAATTGTGTGGTTGTAAACGCACCCATGTTACAAGAGAAAATACTAGTGCAGGGTAACATTTTTATGAAAAAAAGGAATTAACTACAGTGACTGGCTCATAAAAAGCGATAGTTCTCGATGCTTAATAGGGACGGCAAACCGCAGCCACTTAGGAAACGTTTCTGAAAATAATAATAAAGAACGGTTTTAGACCAATTTTAATTTTTTTTTGTCTTTAAAATGTCAAGTTCTTTATGAAATATTTTGTAGCTGGATGTTTATTTATTCTTACGAAACCACTAAGATTCCCTAGTACTAGGAATATGCCATATTACAACAAATTGCTGACACATTTACTGACGATTGTAGCTTTGTGTGCTGAAGTATGATAGATCTTGAAATAAGCATAAGCTATTTACCGATATTATTTAATGTACGTAAATAATAATATTATAAGAATATAAGTAAGTATATAATAGGAAAGGGGAAAGTTTTACTTCAAATAGTTGTACAAAAATCTCACATTGTCTACGATCTGAAGTCGTGTTGGTATTATAATATACAGCAACAACGCAAAAAGTCAACGTAGCTGACGATCTTCCATACCCGAAATTTAGGCAATCTTTCTTTAAATCAATAATGTATTTTATTACAGAGTAGCAGAAAGTCCAGACTGCGAGATGGGTATCGACAACCTGGCTAAGATCTTCGGCCCTACGCTCATCGGCTACGGCCTCATGTCCCAACCCACAGAGATGTACAATGCCACTGCGCAGATGTTCAATGTAAGTCTTTGTTATTAACTAGTGGAATGCTGGCGCGCAGACGATAGCGTGGTGTTGGGCCATTAAAAAATATTTAACGTGGTTTTTGTGTGTCGCAGGTGATGCAGCTATTGCTGCGCCTGCCATGCGACTACTGGTCGCAGTGGGCGTGCCCCAACAACGAGGCGGCCTCCCCCCACGCCGGGACTCTGCCCCGACCTCGGGGATTCTTCTTTTCACCCGCCGATACTGGGTAAGCTATATCACAAGTTATTTTAACAGTTCCGGAAACTCGTGCAGTATTTTTATTTGTTATATTTTTTTTTTTTTTGACAACGACAATCCAGTTCTGCAAGTGAATAGATTTATAACTATCTTTTTAGCCATAAAATAAAATTTCATTCCTGTTGTAATTCGGAAGAGTTTGTAATACCAAGATAGTAGAGTATTATTGCCCTTTCAAAATCTTTTAAAAAAGAAAAAAGAAATGTCTTAATTAAAGTTTGGAAGTCCAAAAAAGAATGATTGTACTTATGTAGGTGTGTACCTTTGCCTTATTGATACTGGCTTGCCATCATCACTTTGGTATTGTTGACCAAATAATTAATTATATCATTCTCCATTTCACAGAGTATCCAGGAAAAAGAGGAACTATTTCCAGTGACACTAAAATTAAACCTTATTGTTAACGTGTTAGAGTTAATTTTCGTTTGTTCGTGTAAGAGAACATTTTTGTTAACCATTAAACCTTGTAAATTCTTATTTATATGCTTAAGATATGTTTATTTGATGTCGTACTCAGAGATATTAAATTATTACTTAAGTCATTCTTTAGTATCAATTTTGTTCCGATAAACTAATTGGTCAAATCAGAAATAAAAAGAAAACAAGTCAGAAATTATAGAAATATAACTACTAAACCAGTTCAAACCTCAAAAAAATATTTATTGCAATTAAACCATTGCCAGGTACTTTGAATAGTAGTCTGTCAGTCGGGTCGTCAGTGAAGCTGAGTCCTCGTTCCAAAGTGTAGAATCGAAAAGAGAAGATAAAGCAAGAATAAAAATATCGATGAGATTTGTTACTCACGCTCAATATATCAAGGCTTAAAATTAATTTTCTAGACCATTATCAAGCTTAGAAAGTAAAAAAAAAGAATTTGGCAAATCGGTCTTCGAGTAATCGGTGTACACACATAAAAAAAATACTCGTCGAATTGAGAACCTCCTCCTTTTTTGAAGTCGGTTAAAAAAAAACATATTTTTTGTTTCAATACAAACTCAAAATCATGTATGTATAACTAATTAACTGCTCGATCGTGAAATATTTTAAAAATAGACTTAATTGAGTGCTAAGTTTTATCACATTTGACTTAATAGTTTCTATGATTTTCACGATATTCCTTTTAAAAATACCGTTACCTATATGGTTTAGATGGAATAAATGTTTTTTGACTGTGATTTTGGTTTTTAATACAAAAATACAACACAACAATCCGCAGACCGTTTCTTTAGTAACAGATTAAATAACTCTGAGTACGGCGGCTAGTTTCACTTAGTAATTAATTCATACGTTTTGACTAACTTAAATTATAGATCATTATTAGTTTAGGACATTTTTTCGTTCGTAAAAGACTTTAGAACCATCACGCTACGATTTTAGGCAGTCATATGAAAAGTATTGGAATTCTTTTCTTTTTTGTCACAGAAATATTCCAAATTGTTTTGTTAATTGGGTTCATTTTGGGTTATATTTTCCCACTTTTGAAGTTCTTGCGAAAAAACCGTGTTTTGTTTTTTTAGTTTCGAAATAAGTATTATAAAAAACAGGATTGTTTTTATTTTCTTCTCTTTCTTAGCATATAATAATTTGTACTTAATTTCTTTGTAACGTTTAGTTTATATATTTGTGTATAAATTAAAATATAAGGTTACTGATTGTCTGCGTTTTTTGACGGAGAAAAACGGACAATACTTCGGTACCACAATTAAAACTCGATTTTTTTATTAAGTTCATAGGAATTTAGACATTATCTAGTTACTATCTTTATTTAAATTCTTACAGTTAATGTTTATGGTGCAAATATCCTAATTAACACTCCTTTTGTGTTGAAAAATATACTAATTAAAATGGATGGCTTCCTCAGTAAAAAATCACTACTGTATTCAACATTTATTTCGCTATATACCTACTTAATATTTGTATCATATTTTTAAACAGCTCAATAGAAATAAATATGCTAAAAGCATATTTATTAGACGTAAATAATTACGACGTCAGAAAGTACTTTAAAATACTTATGGATAAAGTGTTAAATTTGATGATTTGGTAACTACCCTTTTACGATCATTAACATTATTAAAATAGATCATAAATCATTTGAAAAGTAACAATAACTTTAAGATTGGGTTCGATATCGCTTTTCGTATAGCATTTTAATTTTAACTTGTAATGCAAATATATTCATTTTAATAGTATATATTTCAACAAAACATTTTTAAACACCCTGTACTACAAACATCACATTTATTCACTGCCATACTCGGAGACAGTTAATGATTACTTACGCTGTTCCTTAGTAACGATTCTGTTCAACGATAACAAATACTTAAGACTGACGGAAAACATTAACAACCGGTTTCCGAAAGGCCGATCAATATTTAAAATCAATTTAATCTTTTGTCAAGTCATCTGATTGGTTGACTGAATTATCAACAACCAATCAGATGACTTGACAAGAGATTTAACAGGAGATGAGTTAATTTTAGCGTTGACAAGCCTTTCAGAAACCGGGTGTAAGTCACTGAGTATGACGGGTAATGTATTATAAATCATAGCATCATATTATCTGTAAGAAGTTTCTTTTAAAATAAGTTTTTTGTTACTTCTATTAAATATTAAGGTTCTTCCGTTATCGTGACGTCACACAACCGCCTGCGATAAACGTTTGTAATATATCCTTAGCATTACATCTTAGGCGACAACAGATACACATTTTGTTTATATAAAATTAGCCTTTATTTTTATTGTAACTTAAGACCAATTTCAAATAACACTATCTCCGTACAATTCCGTCTTTATTCTATATTCCCATTGTCAATCCCCAAAACCTAAATATCAATGCTGGCAACATACATGTCATGTATTTGAGGAATTATAATTTCATAATTTACATTACAATTTCATTGCCCTTATATAATAGTATAGATTTTGAACCTCACTTTATGATGTTCAAATAATTATGTTTTACTGAGCTAAGACAGTTGTGTATATTGTTTAGTAACTACCATTATTGAAATAGATCATAAAGCATTTGAAAAGTAACTTTAATAACTTAGAGATTGGGTTCGATATTGCTTTTTGTCCTTTAAAGGTTCGGGTACGTATTTCAAATAATTATGAAAAATAATTATGTTTTACTTAGCTAAGACAGTTCGTGTATATTGAGTTTTCTTTTAAGGTTTTTGGGACCAACCCATCTCTATTCGTAATAGTTTAAATATTATTTCTGTAATGGCCAAGAACACTAAGTTATGTTTGTATTGTAATTAACGTAAAACATACAAAATTTATTTAAAAAAAGTACCGTTTTACTTACGTGAATTAACTGGGAAGAGCTCTACTGTCAGACTTTTAATTCGATTCCTGATTTGACATTGACCACTGTCATTTTGTGAAATAATGATACCACATATAACAGGGTAGTGATGAACACAAAAATCGATAAACAATCAGTGAATCAGTTTCAGGAAGGCATTCAAAAAATTACGGCTACCGAATGGTCTAAATGTGTATCCCATGTTTTCAAAGAAGAGGAAAAAATTAGTAAGCTAGATATGTTAATTGACAATAAATATCAAAGACACAATTCATAATAAATGTTACATAGAGTAACGGCGATAGCGATAGCGATGACGGTGACAATTTATAAAATGTCTGTTTTATTTGTCACGTTCCTTCATGATCACATTTTTTATTAATTTCACACACAATTACAAAAGAAAAGTCGCAGATCGTTAATTAATTTACAGAACTAAATGATCGGTTCAGAAATATTTTATTTCCTGATAAACTTAGTTTACGAGAGTAAATTTATAAACGAGAGGAATCGATTCAGAAATATTCGATTTCCATATCGAATAATTTCGCAACGTCACTATTTATTACGTGTCATAACGTTGCAACACTGAAATTGTCAAATCTGGAATGGAATTAAAATTCCGAGTATAGTTTCAAGTCAAAACGGGACTCTTAATCATGAGCAGCGTGCGCGACGCAGCGACTGGGTTTGCTCGAATGTGCAACATCGCTGTTACGTATAGTTTTTCTCAATTAATTGATATGAGTAAGTTGGTACTTGCAATAAATTAATGTAAGTTATCATCATATACCTAAAAGAAATATGACCGGTTTTGAATTACTAATATGGATGTTCTATCTTCTATATCCAGCTTTTGTAAGGACCATTCTTATTATAATTGATATTAAGATTATTTTCTAGCACTGAAAGTTTCTATACATATATTTGAACGATTAATCACATATAGATGTCTAGATTTAAATGACTATTGTAATGTCATTCTTAGACAAATTAGTTTTGAATAACTGTTCGCTAACGAAATAACTTTAGTTCAGTATTTTTCTTGGTCAAGTCTTCAGTTCGTCATCACAATTTTTTCTTTGTTTTTACATTAATTTGTTCAAAATTGTAAATAAACTTAAAGATACACAGAAACAAATTAAAAAGTGATTTAATTATATAAGAAATTAGGATTAAAGCATTCTTCTAATTTTGTTTACTTTTTTTCGTTTAAAACTTTGTTTTTTTTTTATATATTGATACCTAGTGTTTGTGCCTAGTCACTGACTAGTATTTTAGTTATACACCTGTTATGTGTATACATATGTACCTATAGTTAGATAGTAATATATTGTAATCACTGACCGTAAATGAAATAAACTTGTCTAACTCTATTTTGTGTTTCATAATTCCCTATAGTTTTTTAATCATTAACCTAGCTAAAATTTCGATAAAATTGCAAAAAAAAATCAAACAGCAATTTACCTGTTAGTCTAGGACATGTCCCCAATGGCCTACGATGGCGGAGGTTTATTGGCGGGGCGAGGCGGGTATTTTTAAAGAAAACATGCCATTACGACCTTTAATCCCGAACAAAATTTAAAGGCAACTTCTTACGAAATCGAGTGGTGTCAGACTCTTAATTACTAAAAACCCCCCGTTCCTTCTCCCGCTCTGGGCCAAGGTCGCGGTGCCTCATTGCGCACCCCGCAGCCCCGACTGAACATCAGCTCTATAGGGCCCCGTCTGTGGTGGTCTATTGGCTCTTTGAGGCGCGCGCGGAACGCTGCGCGCCTTACGCTGGGGTCTGGTTCTGGTCGGGCGGCGAGCTGCCCCTACTCGCCGACCGCAGGCCCGTGCTTACGGTGGCCGGAGATTGTCCCTTGATCTCCGACGCCCGTAGTGTCGCCTGTTGCGGTGGCTAGGGCGTGAGGAGGAGGACTGCTCCCTCACGCGGGCCGCCTCCCTCACAGAAGGAGGAGACGGCTTCCCAGTTCCTCTCGCTCCGCACCATGGCCTCGATTAAGGTCAGGCGGAAGGTGAGGCCGCCGTGGCGTCTCTTCAAAGCCTCTCTTTGAAGAGGGGTCTTACCGCTGCTATAGTAGCGTGCCCGGCCCTCGGTTGCGACAGTCGCTGCTCCCACTCAGCCATGAGATCTCGCCGGAGCT